AATTTGTGATATCATTGATGAAAAGCTTGTTTTAACCCATAGATAGACTTATTTAATTTGTATACTATTGACTTTGGGTCTCTAGACATAAAGTTTTCTTGTTACATCATATATATCATTTCATCAATGTCACAAGTGAGAAATGCAATCTTTATGTCCATTTGATATAGTTCAATGTATAAAAGAGTCTTTCAATGAAATCGGAGAGAAAATTTATGTATAATCAATGTCTTTTCTTTAAGTGAATCACTTAGTGACAAGACTAGCTTTATATCTTTTCACATTTAACTTTTAAATCCTTTTTTATTTTAAATATTGATTTTCAACTAATAGGCTTTGCACCTTTAAATAATGAGACAAGATCACATATGTCATTATTCTTCATGGATTAATCTCTTCAATCATGACACTAATCCACTTATGAGAATTAGAACTTTACATGACTTGATAGAACTTGATAAGATCATCTTCCATCACTTTGATGTCAACCTCATGTTCTAAAAGAAATATGATATATTCATCCAAAATCACATTCCTTGTCTCTCTAGTGAATCTTTTTAATGACACTAGTTCTTAAGTATATTGAGTTTGTTCTTCTACAGTAGGAGGCTGATGATATGATTTTGATCAAAAGTTACTTTTTAATCAATGTTAGTCAAGATGATGTCATCAAGACTATTGTCAACAATAGGTTGTAGATATGTTGAGTTTCCTTTCATTAGATATAAAGCTCATAAAGAGATTTAACAATTGTCTTTGTTAGAACCTGATTAAGCAAATAGGTTGTAGTTTTTAGTACTTCTCTTTAGAGGTTATCTGACAGGATAAATTGACTGTGTACTTCTTACCATATCTTTAAGTGTTCTATTTCGTTGTTCAACAACATCATTCATGCTAGGAGATCCTAGCATGATGTATTGTGGAACGATGCCACACTCTAAGAATTTAACGAAAAGTCCTAGATGTCGTTCACCTTATCCATCATATCTATTGTAGTATTCACCACCATAGTCTGATATGATGACCTTAATCTATTTTTTGAGTTGATTTTCAACTTTGACCTTAAAGAACACATGTAGTGATTGAGACTTCTCATGAATAAGATGCAAGTAACCAAATCAAGAATAATTGTAATTAAATATTATTGATCATTCTAAGAGGCCATAGGGAATGGTCCACAAATATTTGTATGTATTAATTCTAAGATATCTGAAACTCAATTGACACTTGTTTTCTTTTATGTTAGTTCTTTTTCCCTTGATACATTCAACATGTGTCAAAATTCTTATAATCAAGTGAGTCAAAAATTTTATTAGACACAAGTCAATTAATTCTCTTTTTAGAGATATGACCTAATCTCTTATGTCATAATGAAGCATAATCCTCATTGATTAGTTTTCTTTTTATACTCTTTGAACATATATACAAAATTTATTAAAAATGACCATTACGTCAGGTCAATATAGGTTATCATAACTTAATAAAACATCGATATCAATACTATTTGAATTATCAAAGAGACTAAATTCTTCATTTTTAATTAGACAACCATAACCAAATTTGTCTAAATTAAAAACAAAATTAAGTTATGTCTAAAAGACAGTAAGACATAAGTCTGAATCAAATCTAAATAATATTCAGTCTTTAACAATAACCTAAGGGTCCTTATGACCTCTACTGCTACTACATTATCATCATCTCAGTAGATTTATTTTTCATTATCAATTAGCTGATGACAATAGAAGCAACCATGCATAGACACACTTACATAAATACTAGCATCAGAGTCTATCCACCATGTGTGCAAGGGTATAGAAGTTAAATTAACCTTTGAACAAACCAAAGTGAAAAGGTTATCTTTTTTTGTATGCTAAGTATGATATTTGGTAAAATCCTTTTTTATTTGACTATTATGCTTACAAAAGAAACAAGTAGATTCCTTATCTTACTTTTTTTGTTATTTCTTTAGTGGTGGTCCACCTGTAGCTTCATTGATCATATGTCTTTTCTTGATTTTATTCTTAGAGGTCATGGCCAAATGAGCACTCTCATGCCTATCTTACTTCAACCTTTCTTCTTCTTGCACACAATGTAATATGAGCTCATTTAGGGACCATTTGTCCCTTTGACAATTATAACTCACCTTAAATTGACTAAATTATAAGGAAGAGAAATAAAAACTAAGTGCATGAGTAAATCTTCCGATAACTCTAACTTCAATGCCTTCAGTTTTGATATTGAGACATCTCAAGAAGATACTCCCTTATATTTTCCTTACCTTTATACTTCATAGAGATAAGTTTTGCTAAGATTGTACTTATTTCGAGTTTATCATTCTTAGTAAAAAAATTCTTAAATTCTTCAAGAATTTTTTTTGATGTAGTGGCCTCTTCAAACAAAGTGCCCATAAAAGCTGCTAGAATGATATGTTCCATGATCATAAGACTTGAGCGATTTGATTGGTCCTACTTATCCATATCTCTCTTATTCTCATGAGAGTTTGTAGGACAATCTTCTTTTAATACAATGTCTAAATTTATGCAACTGAGAATGATCATAACATTCTCTTTTCATGCCTTAAAATTGATGCCATTTAATATAAGAATAGAGTTTACTTAGACAAAAATAATAGAGGTAGAACTTGAAATTGTATAAAGAACAATATAAAACTCACATAAGTAATTTGATTTTCAAATAATACTACTTCTCATCACAAGATATTGAGTGTAACACTAATACTTTGTCTTTGGACAATAATATTAAATACAAGTAATATCTTGGAGTGACAAATAAATATTGACAATAAGTTTCTGTCAAATAATAAGCCTTACTTTGGACTAACTCATTATTCACATAAAAATATCAAATAATTGTCACATATTTATTAATAAAAATGTATGCAATTTGTAAAAATACTCTACTTTCCTTTGAGCTAATTAGTATGCACAAAATTACTAAACTTGTTGAAGGGATGATGAAATAGAACTAAGGTCTATCTTTTTGATCAGAGGTTGAATTGATCATCAAAAGAAGAATTAGGCCAAAAATGAGACTACATTATGGGAAAATGAAACATTCATTGAAGAGAAGCAAATGAAATTCTTTCATAAAAATTCTCATAAAAGTTCCAATTGTTTCGAACTTCCTATTTCTTTTTGGAACGGGATATTTTATTTATGCAATCCTCATGAATATGATCAAATCTTGTTCTATGATAATTCCATAATCTTCCTCTTTCTTATTCTTAAGCAATATCCACAAGAGAGCTTACTTTGGTGCAATGTTGCTTCAAGTAATGATTCTAAAATATCAGACATGTACCAAAATTTGAATCATGATGGTTATTTAACATTTATTCATACTCAATATAAACATAATCATTGAAAATATCTAATAAATTTATAAAAAAATTATGAAATAAAATCATCAATAATATGTTAGAAATAAAATGAAGTTTGAAATAAATTATTTTATGTGTATGACGTCAGTAGACTAAATAGCTGACGTCGTCGTCATGACGTCATCGCCACAGACCGCCCGCTTCGGCTAGCTGGATCGGCTTATGCCGAGCCGGCGCGCCGTGTAAAAGCACCGTTCTAGCTGTCCGGCTCGTGCTGAGCCGATCATCCGAACCGGCGCGAGCGGTGTACGAAACCGCCGCGTGACGGTTCCTCTCCCGTCCGGCACGCACCGAAAACGGTGCGGCCGTTTCGCGCGACGAACCGGCGGCCGGCGCCTGAAACGCCCCGTGACGGTTCCTCTCCCGTCCGGCACGCACCGAAAAACGGTGCGGCCGTTTCACGCGGCGGAGCGGCGCACGAACTATCGCACGAAGGGAGTGAAAATTAGGGCTGGGAACGGGTCGGCCCAAAAATGGCCTTCCGTTCGAAAGACGGACCCGAAGCGGTCGCCCCTCCCCTCCACGTCTCTATTCATTCCCGCCGATTTTCGGAAGGCCCGGAAACCATCCTTCTGCGAGAGGAAGAGGAAGAACTGAGGTGATTAGGGCCGTGCGGAACTGCCGCAGCCCTCCGGCAGATCCTTTCGGAATCTTCCGGCGCTGGCCTGCGCCTCTTCTTCGCCTTCCGGAGCCCTCCGGCGTCCATGCCTTCCGGAAGCGCCGTCCACCGCTCTCCAGCCTCCCGTCCGACGACGGAAAGGGGAAAGGGGAATGGCTGGGCTCCTCCTGCAGCCCACGATTTCCAAATGGAAATCTTCCTTCGGAAAAGGAGAGGAAGAAAGGTGTGCGGAAACCACCGCTCCTCCTCTGCAGGGAAAGAAGAAGAGTTGACAGACCCATCTGAACGGCCTGTTCGGCCCGTTAAGCCGTCCATGGTAAGATCCAAACCTTACGATCTCCACAAAGGACGGCTGAATCTATTCTCAAGACAAGGCATCAAGAATGATACCATGGTGAACGAAAATGAATGAACAAATTTCATTCTCTAAAAAATCAACACATTGACTTGCTCTAAACATGTTAGATCTGAATGATCTTATATTAATGTAGATAGAGAATGACAAAACATAATGAGAATGAATTGAAACCATACCTGAATCCAATGATTTACTCTAAAGAGATGGAATGCTGTAAAGACTCATTATGTGTGACCTAAGGACCATGACCCTCTATTTATAGACAAGAGGTGGTTAACCTCTTAGTGTCTTTTTCTAATTTTGCCCATCATAAAATTAGAATAAGACCTGATCTCTACACATATTTATATTTATATTTATATTCATACTTATGAGAGAGTTTGTAATCCCTATATTTAAGTGAGATTAATCAATGATAACTCTATAATATACAATTTTTATATATAATTGTCCACATTGAGATTAATTCTAATAATTTTCAATTCGGTGAGACAACGGAGAACATATGGTAGCAGAAACCCTACAGATTTTATGGATTCGATCCAACAAAGAAGAAGTTGTTGCTGATGTTGGAGACGAGGGTGATATCGAAGGGCGGCCGCGTTCTGGCTGTAGTATACTGGTCAAGCTATGAGGGCGATCCCTTGGTCAATGAGGGAATGGGCAATGTACTGGTTCGCCGCCTGAGTTGGATGCACCCCATCCCAGAAGACGTACTGCTCTGGGTTGGCGCAAACTCCCTCCCGCCGCGGCTTGCACAGCACCGTCGTCCGGGAAGTGCCCGTTCCGCAGCACCCTTTCCTCACCTCGGCAAAACCTGACCCAGTCGCCGGAGGCAGCAACGCGGCATCATCCTCCGTTGAGAAATTGAGAGAGTTACAGTGGCGGGTGGAGGAGTGCTCACCGTGTTCGGAAGGGGAGGTGATCAGCTCCATTAGGGGCGTGAATATGTCTAACACCACGAGGTTGAGGCCCGGAAGCTTGCTGGAGAGCTGACTCGCCGTGGCGTTGAGCTTCCTGTTGAAGTTCTGGGCTTCCGCGTTTAAGCGGGAGATGCACCTGCCATGACCAAAGAGATTGATTGGAGCTGGGAGACACCCCACCGGCGGGAGCGACGTCGCCCCGATCCTGCGTGCTCCTAGGCCGTGGAGATCCTGCGACAGACGTCGTTTCTTAACATTTTCACATACCCAAGCTTTCTACGTAACAAACAGACACTAGTCGAGAGAGAGACGTCGACCCATTGGAGTCGGTGTATCCTATAGTAGAGAACCCAACCCACCTTCACGAAACTGGCAAATCTTCGGATGAGAAGCTGCGAGAACTCGTCTTGTGTGTACAGCCTCCGGAGTGACGAGTTGATGTAGTAGTTCTGGAAGAAGTCCCCATTACCGAAGCTCATCAGGTGCACGGCTCCCGACAGGATACCCGCCGCCTTCCTCTTCCCCGTCACCTTGGCCAGCTCGATCCGATACTCCTTGTAGTACTCCATCTGCTTCGCGAGCGACAGCGCATGCTGCGTAGGACGGAGAAGCAGTGGCAGAAGCTCAGGCTTAGAACAAAAGCTCGGCCAGCATAAGCAGCAGAAACTTACGTAGATGGCTGCAGTCCCTTCGTAGTACCCCGAACCTGCAGAGGCGAAGCTAGCGCCCTGCAACAGCCTCTTCCCGGACGCCTGCGGGCTGAGATAAGCCGGAGGGAAGCTGGCGAACCCCAGAGCCTCGGCTGCAAACGAAGAAACCCACCCGTCTCTCAGAGGCGGCGCAGGAGCTTACAGGCTAGGGATGGTCTGAAAGATTGGTAGCTTATGCGGCACTCGCCTGTGAAGTCGGTGACCAGTTTCCCGTCGCAGAACCTCCCTGTGGGTTTGTGCGTGGTGAAGTTCCTCCCGTAGGGCGGGAAGTCGGCTTTGAAAGCGGCCGCCGGGATGTAGTTGTTGTTCCCCACGTCGGTGGAGGAGTCCCCGAAGGATATGATGGCCGGAACCAGCGCCGCTGGTGGCGATTGCGCTCGCAGAGGGAGGGCGAAGACGAACAACACCAGAGCCACCGCTAAGGCTGCATATGTTCCCACAGGCTTTGCCATGATCCTCCTAGAGAGCCACCGATGCATGCCATCATCCTCACCCGAGGTGGGCCCTTATAAACTCTCGTGGGCGGCAGAAGGAGACCAGCTGGAGGTCCATTCCGCCGCCGCGGAGAAGGCGGGTCCCCCGGAGTTCAACTAAAACTCTGCCACCCACCAACCTCCAACCTACCTCAGAAACCCTGGGCATACGAACAAGCTGGGGATACAGAAAGTGTTTGTTCTCTAGAGAGGGCATTGATTGATGAGAAGAAGCTTTCCTGACAGGAGCAATGGCAGCGGCCGCCACCAGTCAAGGAAAGAACGGTTCTTTCGTAACTACCCATCGACAAAAACAGCCGCCAAGAGATGGCGGCGCCGGGGGGTGGTTCTCTACAAAGAATTATGGGGGGGGGGGGTAAGTAAGTAAGCCAGCCGGATATTTACAACACGAAGACCGCCGCCTGAGAAAGATTCACAAGGGCAAGGAAAGGAGAGTCGCCCTCTCCCTTCTCTTCTTTGTCTTCGTCTTCTTCTCCTCCTTTCGTCCTCCCGCTGCTAAAACTCCAAAAAAGGCGAGTCGCATATAAGAAGCCGGTGAAGACCTGCTGTTTGTTGGACGAGTCACGATTGCCAGAAGATGCTGGGGTCCTTGCTGTACAGAGAATGGTCCTGTATCTCTAAATTAGCCACGTGCCAGTCGATGAGCCACGCCTGAGTGCATTTACAGAGCACCAGGGAGGCAGGGAACAGCCACCATCCGCTCTCATCACTGAAGGACACAAGAAAGTCAACGGGGGTGAAGGGAAGACGAAGATGGGGGAGGGAGGTATCAAGCGTTTACTCACGTGTTCCAGGGCTGAAAGTTTGGATGTTTCCGGTTTAATGGCCTGTAGTGTATAAACCCACAGATGAAGGCTACGACCTGAAATAATGGAAGGAAAAGAGTAAGTTCTTTGTCCATGACTTGAAAAAAATTCCTATAAATGGCAAGTTGAGCAACAAGGAATGAATACTGCGATTGATGGTGGGTTCACAGCGGATGTATTTATTTGCGCCAAAGTAAAAGTGGGGAAATTAAGCAAAATTGCAGCAAAAGAGAATTCTGTACTGAACCATAGAGTGGCGGATGTCTAGAGAAGGGACCGATGCATGTGTAGACATATTCATGGATTCAGCTGTTCTGACAAGCCTCCAAGAAATCTGTCTCCTCTCTGACCCCACACTTCACAGAAGATCGGATGCAGTGAGGTGGCATCCCCCACACTGGCCACTTCCAAGTAAGAACAAAGATTCGTGGGTATAGGTTTGCAATATAGGCTGAACCTGATGATTTTTCTCGCAATGAGAGATGTTCTATCACAGGCAAAGCAAAGAGGAGAGGAAAAGGGTAGAAAGTCGTGGAGATGGAAGGCAAAGGGAAGGGTCACAGCTATATAATTTTTGTGCCTATGCACTGTGTCACATCGGCCTAAAAGAGCACCATTGAATAGCACCCAGAAATTGCGTTCAAGGATGAACATGCACTAATGATTTTCAGCTTATGGCTTTGATTCATTCCGGGCCAAAAGTTTCCCAAATGATGAGCAATGAGCAGAAAACAAATGGTCATAATATTGTTAGATGATTTTTGAACGATATCTGGGTAATCCCGCAATTGGAAAAGCAAGCGAGCCTGTGAAAAACATTCCGACCTGTGACCAGTTGTTCCTTCTTTCCTAAGAATTCACACATTATATTATCCACGAAAACATTCCAACGACAGAGCGGAAAATTGTTCCCTAAAAAACAGATCCGGAAGAAATCAGATCGTATCACCGCCAGCATTTTCAATCCAAATCACAGAAATCAAACAATTCGAATCCAGAGTTGCATAAAGTGAAATGAGTTCCATAGCCTTTCTATCTATATACTTCCAATAAGAGATAAAAAGTTAACATTAGAGAAGTTGATTCATATCGTTCCAAAAATAAAAAAATATACACAAAAAGGATCTAACATTGAAGATCCAAAGCATCAGTCGGTTTATTGACACTACCCCACAGAAAGGAGAAGGGCCAATACCGAGACATAGAGAAAAACATCGGACCTTAAAGGTATAGTGAAACACACACATACAAAAAAAAAGAAGGGCAAAATGAATAAGGATTTGGACCACTTACTACATTAATCAAGGACGTAAGATTCCACAACGCATATACGCGTCCAAGGCCTGCAGATCTCCTAGGGCCGTGACTAAAAAGAGCATTGATTCCAGCAGGAAACGGCGAAAGTATAGCCAGTGGAAGAACAAATAAAACCAGGAAGACATCTCCCAGAGAAATGGAATACAGTTGGAGCAAAGTAAGCAGAACTAAGCTAAAATCTCCCAAAAGCAAAATCGAAATGATCAATCCAACTACATCCTGCAAAGACAAGGCAGAATAATACACATCAAGGTGATGAACATAAAGGTGGTGGTATATAACCAGTGAGAATGTACACAGTGAAAATTACCTGGTGACCAATAGGCTTAGTATTATGCACCATAAGAGAAAAAGGGTAAAAAATATCTCTTCTGTGCTCAAGCATGCGCAAGCTACGAGTATCTAGGACTCCACTAATCCTTTTACGTGTCACAAGGGTTTCATTCTCCCGCAAATTGCCAGATGAACCATCTCTACAGGTGTTGTTCATGCTGCAAAGCAGAAAACTTTCTACTCGTCAAACAGGTGGCTTGAGGAACAGAACTACGGAATTGACCAGTTCCACAGCATACACAACAAATATACAGTAAACGACATTTCAGGTAGCCATTCTTATATTCATTATAAAGGAAATAGAATTTACCGTGGTTCTAGGTCGATTTTCATTGACCCAGCAATACCACCAACTGTTGAATTTCCAGAATCTGCGGCATTGACGATGAGACCAAACTGGCAGTAGCCAAATGCAGTTGACTGGAACCACGCAAGATTAATGCGTACACCATGCAGAATAAGGGCAGGTTTGGCATGGGTTTCAAGCCAGCTGATAACAGGCAAGAATGTCAACTTAAGGTTCCCATGGCGAACCAAACGCAATTGTGCATTTAAACCAGCTACCAATCGATACCATATGGTGGGTGGAACAGCCTACAATATTAAAGAGAACTCACGAGTTAAGAAAGCCATCAACATAAAGATATTACAAAAAAAAAGCCAATAGTGTGTTATACAATAAAGATGGCAATTTACGGCCTTGAATAACACCTGACTCATGAGGCTGGTGAGAACATTATCACTGTGAAGAGCAAAAGGAGCCATGTAACTTCCATCCCCCCCAAACACTAAACAGATTGGAAATCTTTGCTGAAGACGAGGAGGAAGATCAGGCCTTTTTTCATCTCCACCAAGAAAGAAATCTACGTAGGCCAACATTAGATCCGGAGTTGCAGCTACCTGCATGAGTTGAATCACAGTGAGATACCAATCTGGGAATCCGAATCCGGGAATCGATTGCAATGAAATAAATCCACTGTTACATCAAAGAAGCCAATTGATCACTAAGTCCCTTCCAAAATTTCAAAGCTAATGCAAGCTCCGAGCACGAAATGACCATCTTTTTAATAAGAAAAAAGTAGAAAAGAAAGAAGTGAAATACTTCAGAGAATAAATGAGGATGCGGACCTTGAGTCCTTCATAGAGAGCCCGTGAGCGGCAAGATCGCAAGCATGCATGATCATATTCTGAGCGAACAAATTCACGCAGCTGTTGCAACTTCTTCCTTCTGCGCCACTGCTGCCATGACCATGCAAGCGGATATGCAAGTATAGAAAGAATGCTGTAGATGGAACCCTCCCACCATTGGTAAGCAGCAAGGGCATTGATTTCATCAACAAATCTATTAAAAGCATCCTCATATCTGCCACACAGGAAAGCAAGCACAATTCAATAGGTTAGTCTAAACAAAAACACACTATGCAAGTTACATCCAAGACTGATGTTACATTTGAGACATCTTAAAAACATGAGACACCCTAGAAAAATTACAACCACTTACACTATCTCAGAAAGCTGTTCTGGAGGAGAGTGAGTAAGATGCCAAGGTTCACTGAACGTGTTGGGACCCATGAAATACATTCGATGCACATGACTCTGAGATTCCTCAGCCCGATTTGTCTCCAAGACCTGTACATGTGTCAATTAAATCAGCAACAAATGGAAAAAAATAACCAGATGAAGGTGATGTATTAACCAAAATGTCAAAAACAAATATACACAGGAGGTTATAAATGAACCTCATTTAAGGATTCCAGGAAAGGAAAGGAGTGATCAATCTGTGAACCATGTTGAGTAGGAGCAGGTCCTGGTAGCTCATCAGTGTTGACAAATTTCATCCTGGCAACACTAAGTACTAATGCCAATAGGATAAGAAGACCGCAGAGGAGAAGACCAAACAACCATGGTCCACCAAATGTGTATATCAGCTCTTCGAGAGCAGTATAACAGTGTGGCATGTGATACCTCTCGGATACACATTTGTATGGACAAGGAGTAACAGCCACACCACCTGTTTAAAAGATGATTATTAGCACTAGTTTGAAACTCAATATGACAACAAAAATGAGTCAATCACTGCAAAAAATAACATTAGAAGGTCGCCCTTTCGTTAAAAAACAGCTAGACAATAGAATGCATCTTGCACAAAAGAGATGTGGACTGAGGAAATAAGTAATTAGAGATCAAATTCATCTGAACCTCAGTCGACAAGATTTTTCCTTCATTCCTTGATGATTGCTCTCGCAAAGAATATGAGCATCACATCACACTAACTACAATGAACCAACTTTACTGGGTGTTGATATTTTCCTCAAATTAAACAACACATAGTACCGCTAGAACTGTTTGAATAGGGGCATAGAGAGTAAAAACTGAAACTCAGGAGTGCAAGGACTAAAACAAATCTAGAAAAAAAAATGCTTCATGAAAGGGAAAAGATGGTAATTAACTGTTTCCAACAGCCATAAGGACAACGTATCATCAGCCTATACTCTTTAGAGGAAAATTTGAGACTACAGCGTACTATCATCAGCGTAACTAACTGGATACAAAAAGATGAACAATATCAATTATTTTAGGAGACAGAAGCTAGTAATACCTCGAACATTTACATATGTGGCACGGCGAGGGAGCTCGTATGAAGGGCATGGACGACAAAGATCTGCATCAGACCCAGTGACATTCTTGAATGTTCCCAGGGGACATTGCTACATTAAACACAAAACGATATTTGTATAAGTTAGTGATACAGAACAATACTTGATATGGATAAAAGATGTAAGTTTGCCATGTGATGTTTAATGAAGTATCCAAGGAACATGTGAAGTAATTAGTAGACTTCATTACATTATGTAGCAAATGAAACTCGAAGAAATATGTGCTGTCAAACTCTGCCATGAGATGCTTATTAAATGGAATACAAGAAAATGTTCTAATTATTATTTTAATTCCCCGTAGTCCCCTCAAGATCGGATACATCAAGCTTCATCATGCCATTACGTTCCATCAATGTTGTATGCAAGCTTATGAAGTCGAATAATTGTCACTGAACTCTAAATTGAAAAGAAATGGAGAACTATTTCAAATAAGCATTACAAATTCACCTCGCAGAAGATACCATAGAGGCCCTTAGGACAATCTTTGCCTGTAACAGTTCCATTTTCTCCAGCAGATCCCCGACCTTGACCCAATCCACCACTGGCATCAAACAGGAAAAAAGATAAATATTACAATACAAAGAGCGTATGGACGCTACAAAAACAAAGTGCAGTATAGAGTCCAATAAACAGGAAAACTTCATAATGTACGTTTCTCTTGTGGGTTAAACGTATTCACAATAGAATAAACTGTGCAAGCATTCTGATTGCGTATGGCAACATAAAGCAACTTTCCCTTGGGGCAAACCGTGATCAAATACTTTAAACGGTTCCAGACTTTATCTGGAAGACACCAGATATTCGTTATCCTATGTCCAGTAATTTAAATTGAGAATGGTACGAAATTTTTAGCTATTGAATTTTCTACAGCAAGCAAATATGTTAACAACACCAGAAATAAGGGAGTCATCAAATTGTTTTCCCTAGAATGGCAACCAATCCAATCCAAATTGGAACCGGATGAGGCAATGGCTAAACTTGGGGTTTCGTTCGAATTTTACCCTCCCTGATAGATTCGGCATCAGTTTGTCCTTGCTAAGAGGAGAACAGACTACCGATTTCAGAATTGAATCAAGAAAGTCATGGTAGTCATCTATCCACACTGAAGTAAAAGTGAACGTACCCCTTTTAGATTCATAGGAAATGACCCTTTGACTCAAAACTAGAGCCTATTCTACTTTAAACAGGGTAAAGCTTCTAAATACTCGTTGGGAACGAAAATGTCTTACATGATGATGACCAATCATGCTGAGTGCAGCTTACCTAATGCCTAAACTTTAAATGTGGAACCTATATGCCGAACATGACAAGCAACTTCACATCACCCAAGGACCCGGGTAGGTCAGGAATGAGGCTCAAGATTCAAATCACCTGCTTTCAGGGGTAATAATCATTAAGAAAATATGTAACTATCTCCAACCCTTATCTGGAAAAGTTCAATAATTCCTGCCACTTTAACCACAGAGTGAATGCCTTGGCTTCCCCTGTATCTCTAAGTTCAGACAAGATAGATGTGGAGGATAAAAGAACCCTCCCAACAACAGAGTGACAGTGGGGAAAATAAGAAATTCTTTTCCTCCCTCCACCTAGGCATGAAATAGTTTATGCAAAAACGCAACGTAGAAGAGAGATCAATGTGCAAATCTAAGGACAAAGAAATACATTCAGGTAAGCAACAGCATATCAACTACACATATTTTGAAATCAGAGCATCAACCATCAATATGGTTTTATGATCAGAACCAGCAAGAACAGCTACCACAAAAAACATATCACAATTATTTTAGAAAAAGTGAAAGGAAAAACAAAAATACATAAAAACCTTGTATTTATGTCTCCATTCACTGTTGCAATTGGAAGATACTCATCCCCTGTGGCAATATCAGACCAATGAAAGTGAATCCTTCCACCTCCACCACCGCCGCCACCACTGTGACTGCCATATCCCCCAACACTTGAAAGGGTAGAAGCATTGGAAAGCATGAAGACGTGAAGAAACAAAAGAATTGTCCCCCCAGATCCACCACCAATCCCCCCACCAGGGTTGCCGAGTAATCCATAAAACTCTTTACCAAAACCTGTCCCTAGACTTTCTCCATCAGCCTTGATAGAACCATAAACAGTCAAGCTTGATAAAGAATGCTCCAATGAACCCATCACTGCAAATAAACGCAAACAACGTCAGTTGCATTTCAATCAGACGTAAAGGGTATGAAAATATAAAATTATCAACAAATACATGCTTTCAGATCTTAAGATTCCATATACACAAAATATAGATACATTGTCTCATGATCACTCTCCAAGGAGCTTGAAAAGGCGACTTAATTAGATTCTGTTTTGCAAACAGCTGACTTCCATTTTCACATCAATGCATATTTTAAGTATAATGAAAACAAGTAATCACAGAAGTATGTGGTGAACAGGCTCCTCTCCATATTGATCATACCTATGATACCCCCACCAGCAGTTGATGCACCAAGACTCTCGTCTCCACTACCACTTCCAAGCTCACAAGGCAAATAAGCAGTTCCATACTTTATGCCGCCTTCAACATAACTGCCATTAAAGAAACCATCTCCCCCTTTTCCACCATGGCCCCCACCTCCACCAAGACCATTGCTCAAAACTTTTCCTCTCCCCACACCACCTCGGCAACCTGTGTACGGCTAAGCGTGAATGATCAATTTACCCTATGCTGCCCAAGAAATTGTCGGAAAACAGAATTGGAACAGACAAATATGAAGGTGAAAGAATCATACCCAGACCAGAGGCGCTAATTGTGCCAGATGGTTGCACAACAACAGATCTGGCTCTATGGAAATGAATGACGTTTCCTTGTAAAAGACCAGCGATCGTAATATCCTCAACTCGGCAGATCTGGAACAGGTATAACAGATACTAATTTGACTTCAGAAAGAAAAAAATAACAGATATAAATGGACAAACACTAAGAAAAGGAGATTATCACTTTAAAAAGAAAAGAAAAAAGATCTCAAAATAAACACAGTCAACAAAGATGCAGTACCTGAAGAGTGAAAGAAAGTGAAGCGTTCACATTGCAGTCCTCTGGTGGACTGAGAAGTTCAATTGGGCAGTCTTCAACTTCACATTTCAATCTAGGTGCCCTAAAGATTAAACGTAATAAATAGCCAAACCTCCCACTACGGCAGAAAGAAGATTAAGCCCTTACCAAAAAACTTATCTCTCAACTTACATTTCATGACTTGTTGCATTCTCCAAGGGACCACGCAGAATGGATCCCGGACCAAGCTGCAAAAAGAGTCTCAGATAAATATACGCTAATAAAGGACAGCTCCGATATCCTTAGGCCATCATTTTCGAAAAAAAACCAAATTAGTCTTTCATTAAGTATCAGTGGAACACCAATGAGCCATGATTACCTGGATGCTGTAAAAAAGAGAAAGAATCAAACGTTGGGCTTCAATCACGTCTCCAAGACCAGACAAATTAAGAAGTCCTTGTCCATGGATTCCCAAATAGGAGTTGGAATGTATCATTGAAGATTCCTGATTGATATGTATAAAGGTAAAACAGAAATTAATGTTTGCACGATTTAGAGTTTTAACTTGGCAAAAGATAGGATGATACCTTCAGAACAATCAAATTGCTGGCCTCAAGCAATGATGTGGCGACTATTGCATCCCCTCCACCATTTATGAGCATTTTGGAATTCCACATTAAAAGCATCTTTACAGACATCCGTAATGCCCCATTTACCTATATTTGAGTTAAAACACAAAGATGAGGAGAGGTTTGTCAAACACAATATTGGTAATTAACGTTTGTGGGAAAAAAACTAGAAATATTAGCTTAAGAGCAACTGACGCTTCTTTTATTAAAGAAGAAAATCAAACCTGATATATCATAAACTAATATACTGAAAACAAGCATGCCGCTAAATTGATGAGAAAATTGCAAAAACTTCAAGAAGATACTTGAAAGAGAGCATACAAAAAATATTGCGCTGTGCAACAGAAAATTCAAGGTGAACAGACAATAAATGAATTGATACAGCATTTTTTAGAACCACCAACCGACGATCCCAGAGACAATGAAAATTAGAAACCTGGGTTCCACAGTTCGTGAAAGGATGTTTGTCTAGCCAAGAATTTCAGCACTAACTACCTGAGAATTTCAATATCAACAAGTATTGCCTGCCAGGACTCATGGTCTGAAAACTACCGCAAAGCAGTTATCTTAAACTAGAATAAAACATCCATTACCCAGCAAGTTGGCCCATCACTAAGTGAAAAAATATCTTCTGGCACATGCCTATTGCAAAGAACCAAAAATTTACTTTCAGTCACTCGGAAGACTAGCAATGATCTTCATCAGCTACTGGCAGATGTCATCTATAAAATTCTATCATATTCTTGGATGATATTGTTTTAAAATGCGAAATCACAAGGATGGAAGATTAAATTATTAAGGCAAGTGAGGGTTAAGCTTCAAGGTTCACGTCACATGCCTTCCTTTGCTAATATTGTTCACGACTATTAAAAGTACATAACATAGAATTCGGACAATATAAACCATGCATCCTTGACAACATTTGTGTGCACAAAAATACAATTTGTGTGCAGTCAGGTTCAAACTAAATACCTTGGCTAAAGAATTATATCAGAGAAGAAGGCATCTAGATATAAAATATATGAAACCACAAAAAAGCAATGAAAATAAAATGCCAATAGTAATATAAAACTAAATTATTCAAGAACTTTAAATGCAATCAACGAAGCATATAAATAAGCATCAGCCCAATGCATTACATAAGCATGAGAGTGAGATGTATGGCTCTATAAGCATATGATAGAGGTACAGACTTCTTAATTTGGATTTTGCTAAGTTTCATGGCATTTCCTTCCGGTTACCTCAATGTGAGGAGAACTAAGTTTAACAATATAAAGATAGCCATAAAAACCATTACCCTGATTATTGAGTCACTCATGAGAAGCTCTTCAGCCATAAGTTCAAATTCGGAATAAGGGTAGCGTACAAGGCCAAAGCTTAGAATGCTGCCCTGCAAAAGACTAAGTTGCCCTTGAACCTGTAAAATGTAAATAGTTGATAAAAACGAAGCTTAGCAACATGCACCACGTGATCGTAAAACACAAAAGACAATTGACACAATTATGGCAAAGTAGAAATTTTCTAATATTCATATTTACAGATTAAACAAAAGAGGTCTTCACAGGACGGCTAACCAAGTGGACTATCAGTAAGCCCTAAAATTCATCCTGGGAGGTTCATCTGAATCTTTAAAATAAAACTTAAAACCCAGAGGTTTATCATATCATAGCTATAAGCATGTCATAGACACCAAAATCATTTAATATTGTTTGAGACAGAAATCTAACGGTGAACAAAAGGTGGAAAATAAATAACGAGCATAAATATAAGAAAGCTTAAAAGTCACAACGTCAAGGCCCAAGTCTTGATCATTTTAGACAGTTGCAATTTTTAAATGTATATATATTTATTTTTGGAAATACAAGATTGAGTATTTATGTTTGTCCACGAAATGTCAAAATCAAAAAAAATTAGTTCCATTAAGCTCCATGAATAAGAGAAATAATTTTCACAGATGTTATTTACATTTGGAAATGTAAATAAGAAAATCATTTGAAATGTAAATCATAATTCAAGAGCACATCTTCATCAAAGGATCATTATGCAACTGAATCTCCTTAAGAGAATATAAAAGTAGGCAAAAAAGAACTTAAATGTGGGAAGCGATTCACATCAAATGTGGGAAACAGAGTCAAGCGAAAAAGAAGCGATCCCCAGCAAGCAGATATTCATGTTCCATCCCTCACGAGCGGTCTAATGCAACTAGAACGTACATCATGTTTGGGGTCATGTGCAACTGACTGTTAACGTTCTGCACCTAATCCGCAAAAGCCAGGCCCCTTATCACTTACGCAAGCACTATATTACCCTGCTACCCAAGGAAGGTCAGATGGCTAGGGGATCTGGACCACAAGGACACCTAGGTGATCCATAGCCAAACACGACGTTGGATAATTGGATAATTTTAAGAGTAAAATGCACCAAAAGAAAATAAAAAATTGGCAAGGCAGTTTCAGATTAATACACATCATTGATAAGACCCCAGCGCAACATAAAGAAGCAAGCACAACAATAACTTGCACATGACCGACAGAATCTTCCAGAAGTTCAACAGAGCGGGTCCACACACAATCAACCCCACAATAGCAACGAAAAAATTTGACTTTCAACATATTACATTATGAGATGAAAGGGCCTCTATCTTTGAGTTATTCAACAATGCTATTTAACTCAACAGTTATCTCTCTATGGTCACCAAAGTCTTTTCAACAGTTGCACATCATGGTAGAAAGTCAACAGACAAGCATTGGATAGTAAAGGTTACAAACACAAACGATGTTTACAAGAGAGAAGGTAGTAGCAGACCTGCACACGACTCCATAATAGCGGCACAACTACTTTTGCAGAATTTCTCACAAGAACATTTGTCCAAAGAGGTTGGAAGGGAAATTCCAGTAAAAGTGTATCTGTTTGTGTTGAGAAATTGTAATTGTCCACAATAAGGCTACGCGGGACAGCATCATAAAATGTCCCCGCAGCTCCATTGTTATCTTCACAACCAACACTTCTCCCCCCTAAAAGATGAAGAGATTAATCCTCAGAAACAAAAATCAGACCATGGGATACTGGAAGGATAAGGGTAATCATGGGGCAAATGGTTCAATTTCCTTTATAAGAATATTGCAACAAATCTGAATAAACAGTATAATTTAGATAACATATAGGTTTCAACAATCAATATAGCGTATCAGCCATTTCTGGTCGATGCTCACTGGCATTCCACTAAATACGAAAATAATACAGAAAATCAAATATGGAACCCATGTCATTGTCCATACTGCTAAATTTGGGAAATCGTATAAATCCCATACATCTCAGTCTATCTCTGGTCGTCAGTTCTCTCAATTGATCATAAGACTGGACATATGGCCCATCTTGGCATTCTTATGAGGTTATTTAACTTTCTGAATTAATCGAACTTTCTGCTCAAAATCATTTAAGTGTTTGTCACGTTAAAGGGGAGCGTCGAAAAAACCCATGTATTACTTTGCTAGCACAGGGAACGTAATGCTAGAACAACTAATTGAAAGAATTGCAAATTATGTAACTAATAGGAAAAAAAATGATTTTGAAAGAATAATCAATAATACATTGATCATGCGCACAACTTAAAAACCACTTCAGAGGATTATCAATTCACCATGAACGTAGATCTTAGGATCATCGTGTCTGCTGTATGCATGAATAGAAACTCTTCCTCCACCACCTCCACCATATCCAGTACCTCCAGAAGCACTGACCTTGCCACTTCCATTCCTTTCCATGGGAGAAAAGTTGGAAAATTAGAAAAACGCAAGACCATCATTGCTAAAAATCATGTAGATTTTATGCATTCGAGAAGTTAGTATAAAGCTGGTAAGCTAAAAGTATTAAAAAAGAAGAAGCCAAAAGTATATTTTTCAGACGAAGGTTTCAAAGCAGGCAAGCTAGTATGTAGCTGAAAGAAACTACATGACTGGAGACAATACTGAAGGATAATTAAACGACTAAAAAATTACTACTTTGTGGGGAATGAGCAATAATATGTTTAATGAATAACACCAGGGCTTCAACATGTTTTCAAATGTTATTCAAAGATTGGTATTCTATCTCAACTTCCAAAAAGCACACCAACTGAAAATTTAGAGAAGTGATGAACAGTGTTAGTAATTGAAATGGAAATAAAAATTTCAAAAATTCCTTCAATGATGGATTCGTTATGAGATATCAATTCCAAGGACAAAGATGACAGCAATGGAAATTAGAAGAATAGTTTTCTCAGTCAAACACGAAAAACAAAATCCTTTCGAATGAAGGACACTGATTTCGGTGGGGAAATACATACATACAAGGGCTATTACCATAGATACCTAGGGATAAAAGGTAGTTAAACAGTCAAGAAGATTACTTTCATACATTAACCGATGGGACAGCTTAATAACTGTGGATGCAAAAATGCGATGAAGGGATACCGGGTCCTCTCCTATCCTCCACCTTGTTGATACCCCCAGCTAAGAAAAATGTTGTGTTGAATATAATCCTTCATACCATGGGACATTGGGATTAAGAGAAAGGGGGTTATGTAATATGTGTAGATGGTGCGAGAGAGAGATGATAGAGTGCTCAGAAAAGGATCCAGAGTTTTTGTGAGGTATTAAGGATGCTTAACCTTTATAATCAAACATCGTAACAAGGGCTTGCAATCAGGGTTTTCAATACGCTTTCAAGTTGCTAAGGATTAAAAACACATACTTTATCTCATCATGGAAATCATTCAATTTGCAAACCTAAGAAAACAACCACATTATCCTAGCAGACACATACACTCGTCAACTGGGCAAATAGATTCTTTTCTTTTTATTGAATCTATTAAAAAAGAAAAATGAATCATCCATATGGCAGAAGCACCACAGTTAAGTGACATCACATGTTGTCTCATAGAAAAATTGGTATACATGCGTCGCTTCACCTATAATCTATTTCACAAGTATTTTCGTCTAAGGGCATGGCCAGTCACCACGAAAGGGAAGCAAAAGAGATCATTCACACAAGCCCTGAGCCCTCTTGCACACCTGAGAATACTGAGCCCGCAGAAATCTTACTGTAACTTTAGACAGAAAAGTTAAGTGAACCTTTCGTAGTAAAAGGCTGGATAACTCCTGTGGAGAGTTTTATGGCAAAGTTACCTGTATTGATCATAATGATTACCACCCCCAACCCCCAGCCTATACACATGTCTAGTAATCAGAAACTTGTTTACTATCAATTCCTGCCTAGAGACCATTTCACAATGTTCTCATCTATATTACGCCAAATTACCAACATGAAATTTAAAAGGCTTTTCTACTAAAATGGTTTGGTCAAGACTATGCCTGTAATGAAAAAATACATGTTCAAATATTGGACTGTTCCATCCACTTTCAAGATGAAAGTGATGGAAGAAGGATAAGTTTCTATCTCATCAAATTAGGAACCACAATTTCGGAATTCTAATCGGCATCTAAGTTAACCAGCAGGACTTTTATGAATGTAGTACTTACGTCATACATCACACAATGGGCATATCTAATTACTACCCAGCACAGTTTTGTTTAATTCTCTACAGAATACTAAGTTCTCAAAAAACCCTACGGAACAGATTGATGATAGTTACTTTTATTAACTTGAAAAAACCTAAACAATATTCATGCGCATTAGAGGCTCTACTTTAAATTTTCGCGGATATCTTGCCATTCGAATCTTCAAAGTTGTCGAACATAATAGCTCCTATTATGTGTCCAAAAAATCCCCCACTCACTTCACCAACAGACAAAATATTTATGGTTTCTGGGTGACGAACGAAATGGCGTTGAAGTCAGAAAGCTATAAGCATTAACATAAAAACCTACAAGGAAACACGAATGCACCTTTGTAGACGATGGAAAATGATTACGCATTCAATAACTGTGCAATGACACTCGAATGTAGCTACAGGAATTCTAATAACACCACAGGGCATAAAAGTGGTTACAGCAATCTGACTAAGCTTCCTAATCAGGGATATGAACTAATGCATACTGAAAGAAGGGAAAAAGCATCTCACATTTTGCTAGCCATTAGATAAATGCTGCCACCTGAGCCTCCACCACCCTTGGGACCACCCTCCCCGCCGTCAGCAATGACAAGCCCATTTATCTCAAGTGAATCTGTGATGTTGAACCTGATACGCCCCCCACCTCCACCCCCATAATCTTTTTCCCTGCTCGTCGTCCCACCTCTGCTACCGTAGCTCTCAGGCATCATCAAAGACGACCATGAGTAAGCGTCGCCTCCCCATGAATCATCAGGAGTCTGCCCCTCCCGCCTATAGCAGCTAGCACCCCTGCCGCCATGGCCACCACCGTCTCCGTGAATCCCACTGGGCGTTCCACTCGTCTGTGGTGGGGGTTCTCCCGCCAATCCTGTGGTATTCACAACGGAGCCGTCGCCGAGGCTTACATTGGTGGCCTGCACGTCGAGCCTACCTGCCTCCAGCACAGACTGGTTCCCGAGCCTGAACTCGCCAGAAAGATTTATCACTATGGAGCAACCAGGTAGGGGGCACCTCAGGACGACGCTGGGAAAGATCACAAAACTGCCCTTCCCTTCTATATACAGGTCGTCGGAGAGCACCAGATCGCCATTAAGCTGACAGAGGGTGTCAAAGGAGCCAACGCCATGCAAGTCCTCCTCACAGGAGGACGATGGCGGGCTAGGAGGGTCCGGCGGCGGGGGGGACGGCGGGGAGTAATCGTACCTCAGGATCGACAGTGGCCCTTCCCCTCTCTCCTGCGATTCCTCCTCTAGCGATGGCGACGACGCCAAGGCACCGGCCCTGACGCCCGGCCTAGGGTTCCCGTCAAGGAGGACGACGGCAAGTAGCAGGCAAGGGACGAGGAGAGGCGGAGCAGGTCCCATTTCCGGCAGGGGGAGAAACTCATCAGACTAGCAGAAACCCTAGCTCCCCGCCCAACCCCTCCCCTTCCCCCCGGAGAAGGAATCGACCTCTCCTGAACACCAATCCCCCCTCCACGATGACACAATTCACAGAACCATATATAATTCTAAATCCGGCCGTTTACAGGGATGCGTACGCCGCGTGGTCGTAACGGAACGAGCACAGAGTGGGAGGAAGGTGGCAGAATCTGCTAGAGATGGATAGAGAGAGAAGGAGAGAACCAGAGAGAAGGAAAGAGAACCAGGGAGTGAGAGAGAGAGAGAGAGAGAGAGAGAGAGAGAGAGGGGTTTACAGGGCATACTCGCTCTTTAAGAAAACGGAAATTCCTTCCTTTCCGAAAGTAAGAAAAGCGTGCACCTGCGGAAGGGGCCGACCGCACGATGACGTGGCTCCATCTTTGCCGTACGATCTCCATCGCCCACAAGGGGAGCGGCATTATCGCGACCGGGTAAAGCGGCAGAGGCTTCGTCGCCAGCGCCCCGCCACGTGGGATTCGATGGCCGGGGGGTCCAGGCCTCCGCGGTGACGGACGGCTAGCTCGACTCCACCGTCGGGCCACCCAGCCGTATCCGTCAACCGGATGCGAACGTCCCACCATGGGCTCTCACCGACGGCCCACGAAGGTGCCCCGACCCCGCCCATTTCTGACGTGGATAATTAGTCCTCTTCTGAATATCTCCATAAACCACGGGAATATCCCCGAACCACGAGCTCCGAAGTGACGACGCGGAAATTTATATAAACAAAAAAGGCTCCTTTGACCACTGTTTCCTTCAATGCTTCGCACTCATCGGACAAACGGATCAACGTCACCCCGATCTTGAAATCCTGTCCACGTGTTGACGTTGGGTGGTCACGACTCGGAACATTCAAGTCGTGGGAATATTTCCCTTCGATAAATTCGGCCGCGAGGTTATTTTACCGACGACGGAGGGCGGCGTATGAGACAAGTTGACGACGGTGCTGGCCGACCATCTAGTTCCAACTTCCTATGGCGGGGAATCTCCCTAAAAAAAACGCCGCCTTTTTTACTTTTGGAAACCCGTAGAAGATATCACGGTCGGCTATATCTTTTTCAGCTGGGGAGACATCTTCACCTCCGCTCACTCTCTTCCGAGTCAACGCAACCGCCGATCACAGGCGACGTGTGTTCGTCCGAGATCAAGCGAAGCGTCGGCCACAGGAGGCCGGGGATCACGACGCCATTCGTAGATACTTGGTTTTCACCTCGTCGACTAAAAAATATATTAACGAATGAGTTATTTAAAAAAAAAAAATACTATCGGGCAAGAATTGTGTAATCGTCTCACGTCGAAGTCGGAGAATTGGGGAGTTGGGCTTTTTGTAATCCCGTAAAAAATAAGCCCTCTTGTAGTAGGCCCATGGAAGTTGGTCCAGGCCCAATAAGTACGGAAGGGGGTGGGGGAGACAGGTGTCAGCATCTGGTGAGTTCTGTTGCTCCCACGTTGCGGCGCGAGATCCTTCTTAGCCGCCGGCTGCTAGGCCGCTGCAGCGGAGTAGAAAGAGAAGTCATTCGCCAATTAAAAAACTCTGCCGCGTGGAGCATGGGGATGGGGCTAGCTTGCTGAGTCACGGTTGCGCCGGCGTGGGGCTCCCTGCGCCACCCGTTCTGGTCCGCTGAGCCCGGGTTGTTCTTCGGTCTAACCAGTTTCCCTCATTGGAAGAACGACGTCTGTTCTGTCTTAACGCTACTCGGCAAAAAGCTTATCCTCTTCTCTCTCTCTCTTCTTCTTCTTCTTCCTCCGCTTCTGCGCCTTTGACTGTCCAGATCTTTGGGGAGGGAGGGAGGTGACTGGGTACCAATGGAGTGCTTTGTTTGCGGAAACTCCAGGACGCTGTCGGTGTCTCTTCATGACTGGAGGTTCAGGAGAAGGGTCCCGGTTGGCGGACCAGTCCTCCGGGGGAGGCTATGGCGGCAGCATTTGGATTGGAGGCCTTTGCAGATCAGTCGCGTTGCAGGCGGCGGCGGAGTGGAGAGTTGCGTAACGACGGTGGAGGACGAGGAGCAGGTGAAGGGTTTCGCTGACGAGGAGGACTTTGTGAAAGCCGGGGGCAGTGAGCTCCTTTTCGTACAAATGCAGGAGAGGAAGCCCATGGAAAAACAGAGCAGGATCACCGACAAGGTGCTTGTCTCTTCCCCTTTCTCCGGTCACTGCTCACGGCACTTTGATATTCCTCTTTTATTCCGTTGGATCACTCACTTGCTCTCTTTCGTGAAATCGTGAGGTCCTATTTCGTGCCAGTAGACTCTGCTTCGTGCAAGAGTAATGCAGTCACTCAACATAAAGGGGGGCTGGAATACTCGAGTCAAAGGAGGCAAACTCTTGAAGCTGGTTTTATCCACATAAGGAAGAAATTAGTGTACTCTGTCGTGTGGGAAACCCAGACCTAAATAAAATCGTGGGTTGTTCAACGTTGACCCTGTTTTGAGAGTACTGTTAGTGCCATTTATTGATTCCACCTTGATCGTGGGCATTGCTATGACAGTGATTATCCTTAGCAACTCCGGGAGGTTTTGTTACATCGTTTGAAGTTTGGATCATTTGTCGATCTGATGGCGTCGGTGTGCCATGGTGCCTCACCTGTCAGCATTCATTTCAAGGGCTGCCCCTAGAAATGTTCATCAATCGCGATTTCTGACCCCATCACAGTGACAAAAACATGACGCAATAGTTGGGTCAATGTCTTCCGAAATTCCTAAAATTTTGATGGTTGGTTGTGGGTGAATCAATGTATCATGAAAGTGCCATAATTTTTTTTCAGCTATTTTTTTCCTCTCTACTGCATGTATTCTTGCTGTGGTAATTTTTTTGGTGGCCATAGAGATTCTTCTTTACCTGTATCTGAGAAGGAAAAAAAGAGTGTCGAGAGCAATTTTTTTCATTATTAGGTTCACTAATGGCATGTACCTTCCATGCACTTTGTTGCTTTGCTCCAAACATATAGCAGCGTCAAGGATTTTCTCTGGTGTTGGCTCTCGGTCCGTTCTTTGGTTCCCTCCCCTGTGGAGAATTATTTACGATGCCGTATGTTAGTAAGTATGGCTCCATGGAAGTGCTTTCGTGATGATTTATTCATTTTGTACGTCTGGGAGAGAAGCAGCAAGTAATTTTATTCTGGTTGATTCCATTTTTCGTTGGTTATATGAAATCTCGATCACCTCTTTGTCAGTATTTCTGTTCATCATCTCAGCTTCTTGTTTATATTTATCCGTTTTGCAGCTAGAGTCAATACCTACTGGAGATTCTGTACTCGATTTAATTGTGATTGGTTGTGGACCGGCTGGCCTTTCCCTGGCTGCAGAATCTGCGAAGAGAGGATTGAATGTTGGCCTTATAGGTCCTGACCTTCCATTTACAAACAACTATGGTGTGTGGGAGGACGAATTCAAAGGTTTGCATTATAGTACTGTGGATTATTGGCTTTAGGTTACTTTCGTCATCCCTGGCTTTGCATGTTAGGGAAACCATCAATTTTAGCCATTCTATTATTTGACTTCTTTTTTTTTTCCTCAATGATGTTCCTTGGATATAGGCTTACTACGACCTTCATTTTTTTAAAATAAAATTTAGGCAAATTCTTATGCATTTAGTAAATGTCATGCAAAATGATGTTAAGTCTCCGATGATCTTTCATTTTTAGTGTACAAACTTTACAAATTCTCTGTTTTTTAACTTTCTCCTTTACAAATATCTACAAATCGTTCCTTCTTTTGCTTGAGAGGTTACTAGATGATTTATATTTCATCAATCCCTCCCTCGTTATTCTGGTAAAGAATATAGATAAATAGAGCTATTTGGTGTAATCTTGAAGCCCTCATGTATCTTTTGTGCTATGCCTTTAATTGAAACTATGTTACCTTGCTTCAGATCTTGGGCTTCAAGGGTGCATAGAGCATGTTTGGCGAGATACCGTTGTTCATCTTGATGATAATGATCCTATTTTAATTGGTCGTGCATATGGTAGAGTGAGTCGACATTTATTGCACGAGGAGCTTTTAAGAAGGTGCAGTTTCACTACCTAGCATGTTTATCTCTTGTTTTGGGATACATTCTCAGGGTCAAAACCATATTCTTTCATCTAGGTGTCAGGATACTGGTGTTAGATATCTTGACTCCAAAGTCGAAAAGATTGTTGAAGTTTCTGATGGCCAGAGTGTTGTTGTTTGTGAAGGAGGCATTAGGATTCCTTGCAGGTATTAACAGGAAATCGTCATCTTCATTTACCTTCATGTAAGTGTCTAACCTCTGAAATTGCAGACTTGTGACTGTTGCATCTGGAGCAGCTTCTGGAAAGCTGTTGGACTATGAGGTAGGGGGTCCTAGAGTCTCGGTCCAGACAGCTTATGGTGTGGAAGTTGAGGTAAATTAACAGTTATTCAATTGCGTGCGCTTTTGTTAGTGAAATGTTGACTTATTTTCAAAAATCGTCTCACATGTTTTTGACCAAGATGTAGCGTAAGACATCTGGTGTCAATTTCCTATTAAAAATGTGCTTTCGAGAAAGCATTTTCGGTGCCGTAAAGGCTAATAACACTGGACGAACTCGTTTAGTAGATAGCTTAAATATACGCTTCCATCCTATTCTAATAGTCCCCGAGTTTTTGAAAATATTATTAAATTTTCAAGTTTCGATAATGAATCTCAGAAAATCATATCTAAGACAGTTTTTTATGGTTCATTGGCAACAACTATAACAGATGCATTTGTGGGAAAATAATTTCACAAGTTCCTGGGACAGAGTATGCTTCGATCAAATAGAAAATTGAAAGCTTTGTTGTGCCAGAAAATGTTTATAAAAACATGTTCCTTATCTAAAGTGAACTTGCACGATGCTTTGGTTTTATTTCCTTGCTGATCCTCTGTACCATTATGACAGTAAGACTATAGAATGAAGGTGTTGCCTTCTATCTATGTATTAAATCATAAAAGTGATTCAACTACTATCACTTTTTCTGTGATATTATATTATTATTTTCAGGAAATATTTACTATTGGTAATATACTGTTAACTATCGTATTGTAATACTGGCTTCCAGGTGGAAAACAATCCATACGATCCCAGCCTAATGGTTTTCATGGACTACAGAGACTTTGCAAAGGAAAAAGTACAACCCCCGGGAGAAGAGTATCCAACATTTCTTTATGTCATGCCATTGTCATCGACTAGAGTATTTTATGAGGTTAGTTGGTATTGTGATTGTTCACTAATAGCCTTTTGTTATGCACCCTATTTGTCAAAGTGCTGAAGGAGCCTTTGTCACAGGAAACTTGCTTGGCTTCAAGGAATGCGATGCCCTTCAATCTGCTGAAGGAAAAACTTATGTCACGTTTGGCAGCAATGGGCATTCGTGTGAAAAACATTTACGAGGAAGTGGGTTATTGGTCTAACATTTAAGCGTTTTATAGTTCTCATGCTTGTTAAGAAAAATTTATGCTTGAAACCATGTGGATTGGTGGAGAATTTGTGGTTGCATCACCAAACTTTTCTGCGTTAAGAAAGATTCACCTTTCATCATTGCAAATATTTATTTTTTTGCTTGTTTTAAAAATTTGGAAATAGACACAATTGAATACCAAAGGAATCTACTTGCTGATGAAATCAGTGGCCAATGACAGGGAGTGCAGGCCGGGTAGTGTTGGGTTGGCTAGACCATCATGTTTGACGCAAGGATGGGTGAAATTCCTTTTGAGAAAACTGATTATACCAATGCTTCAGCGAACTGACAGCCCTATGCAACTTGGTATGCCTGACAAACAGCAGAAGACATCAACCTGACCATTGGGATTAAGGGAATTTTGTTTTGTGGTCTTCCTTTTTACCTTTTGTCTAGGGGAAATCTCTCTTGGAGTTTCCCCTGGAACTGTACCTCGGCCTCCTTTTCTTGCTCTCTCTTGTTCTGATATTGCTACCGTTGTTCTGTCTTCTCATCTTGTGGGCCCCGTCTGGGAAAGCGTCAGGAGGTTTAATGCCTTTAACTCCTCCCCTTCTTGTATTCCAAATGGCATGTTGTGGTAATCACCGAGGGACGGTATATGCTTTCAATTATGTATATGTCATGATCACGCTATCTTCTCTTCAAAATTATGTAATACCCTGCAAAGTTAGGGTTCCACCCCAGGAATAGGTTTCCACAAAATGCATATCGCCAAAACTACCATAAACTACTGCTCCATTCGAAAGGATAAATGTTCATTGCTTTATACTGACGTATAATCAGAAAATATATTCCTTCAGCATGTGGCTGATCATTTGTTTAGCCACGATACATTTTTCATTGTTTTCTGTGAAGTAAGAGGATTTTGAAGCATCCATTTTGCTTTAGTTACAAGTTTTATCGTTTCCTCTAGAGCATGCGATTTGAAGATGCCATTTCGATTTGATGCCACGCGGAGGATATTTCCTTTGGCTTATTCATTTATTTTTTTCCTACGTTCAGAAACAATGCGTTACATTTTCATTAATCTAATCGTCAACTTCTGCTGAATGGCACTAATTTTGGTAGGTAAAGAATCTTTCTGATGAAAGCCCATTTCTAGAAAGATGATCCACCACTTTATTTCATCGTAATTATGTGTGTGTATACATTTATATATATATATATATATATTGGAAGATGGACGCTGTTAAAACTTCTGCTCGGTGATAATACCAGGACTGGAGTTCCATCCAGTGTACTAGTTTCTCAGGGGTCTCACCTGCTCTTCTTAATCTTGATAAATCCGATTTATGTTTCTCAGGTGTCTAATGCGTGGATTGTTTGATTGTTTTTTAGTGCTTCCAATTTTCTTTTGTATTGTGTTTGGATGTGTCTGATTTCTGCTCCGTTGTACAGGAATGGTCATATATTCCAGTTGGTGGTTCCCTACCGAATACAGAGCAGAGAAACCTTGCATTTGGAGCTGCAGCTAGCATGGTTCACCCAGCTACAGGTAATTGAACTCTGGTTTTTCTCCGTACATTTGACTTTCACAGTGGAACATATTAACTCGGTTGTTAGTCATCGTTGAACAGGATATTCAGTTGTTCGTTCGTTATCAGAAGCCCCAACATATGCATCTGTAATTGCAAATATTTTGAAGAAATCTAGCCATCCCAAACAACCTTTTTCCCTCGAAAGCGGTCCAAATTCCTCTACACAAGGTACAAAACTTCTTTCTTACCTCTATGAACGTGAATCAGAACCTCAGTTCCATCATGGTAAAGGCTGCTACATCAAACGCCATGCGGCGTGAACTAATATCATCTTTTCTTCTTCTTCTTTTCCTGTATTTGACCTGTCAGCATGGAATACCCTATGGCCTCCAGAGAGGAAGCGGCAAAGGGCTTTCTTTCTGTTTGGACTGGCGCTGATTTTGGAACTGGATATTGAAGGCATTAGAACGTTCTTCCGTACCTTTTTTCGATTGCCCAGTTGGTAGGTGAACCTGCGCCTGATCTATTCTGAACTGGTTTTCAGGGTATTCCGTTGGTGATCTGGGTCGGTCGGCCAGTGTTGTCTCAGACTTAGTTCAATGGTAGCAGTCGTAGTTTGCCAGTCCTGCCTGGATTAGGGAGCCCATTCTAATATGAAATCGATGCTTTACATTTTCAGAATTTATATCCAAACAAGAGATAAATGTCTGCACTTTAGTGAGGATTGAGCAACCCAGATAGTGAGGAAGCAAATCAAGCATGAGAATCTCTTTTTTTTTAAAACAAAACTTTCCTTTTGCTGAACTTTTACCTTGTCTATGCCTTCTTCACGGCCAGAAATTAATGGTGTCTGGCAACACTTCGATTGTTTTATTAATGTATTCATGCAAACCAAGCTCATTATGGCCTTGGATTTCTTACAAAATCTCTCGAGAATCCTGGATCACTGTATGATTATGATCTTTGGTTGATCTTCAATCCCCAGTATGGGTATGTTAGCTTCCTTGTGATTATGTTACTCCAGTATTTTTCACCAGGATGCCCACCAGTGCATGGACAGTGTTCGGCTCTGGGTTCCTCTCTTTGATTCCTCCCCTGGGTGATGCAGGATGTGGCAGGGTTTCCTCGGCTCCACTCTCTCCTCCGTTGACCTCATCTGGTTCGCCATCTTCATGTTCGTGCTGGCGCCTCAGAGCATGAGGATGCGCCTTGTCCGGCACCTTCTCTCCGATCCGACGGGGGCAGCCATGGTACGGATGTATCTCTCCCTGTAGAGCCCATGTACAGCGGCGTCATACTCTCCTAGAAGCGTCTCCGTTGCCTTATTCGTGTACATATTCGTCTATGGAATTCCAATGGTGAGATCAGCGACTTCTGAAAACCAGCGCTGGATCACTCCCTCTCTCACTAAATAAGATCTCAATTCCGCGTTCATGGCTGTTCCCTCCGATTCTAGAGTTTTTCCAGTTCATGCTAAAGAAGGGGAAGGGAGAAGCTCCCTCGTGGCGTCACCCTCGCTAGGAGGATCCTCGAGGAGGAAGTCCAGATCCGGCCACCTCTTGGTCGAGCAAGCGGCCATCTCCCAGGCCCGCAGGAGACTCCTCGTCGCCAAGATCGCCCTAGTGTCCACGTCCAGCGTCGCCCTCGCGAGGAGGCCGCGGACGGCCGCCGCTGCCTTGTCCTGCACCTCGCCGGCGTCGGAAGTCCCCATGAGGCAGTGCCCCAGTATCCGCAGTGACGGCTGGATGAGCTCCCATGGCAGAGGGATCCTCCCCCCTTCCTTCGCCGCCTCGTCCCTCGCAGAAGTCGGCCCTGCCCACGCGAGGCAGAACTCGCAGAAGTCGACCTTGGAGCGTGCCGGCATGAGGCAGACCTTTGAGCAGTACATCTCCAGCGCCACCCCGACGATGCGCGCCCTCTTGGTGGCCCTCACGGCGCCGTGCGGCTCCAGAGTCGGGGAGATGACCCCCACGGCCAGCTCCCCCCCCGTGGCCGCCCCAGCTCCCTCGTGGTACACGCTGGGGCGGCACAAGTCCGGCACGGTCACCGTCACCGGCTGGTCGCCCCGCGCGGTCGTCTCGTGCGCGTACAGCGCCAGCAGCACCGCCTCGTAGCCCGGCAGCGGCCTCCTCGCCGCCGCGCGGGGAAGGTACACGCCGGCGATCGTCGGCACGAACCGGAGCACCGCCAGCTGCAGGGCGGGGTCCATGGAGTGGAAGGTGTCGTAGAGCCAGCGGCAGACGGTGTCGTCCCCGGCGCCGGAGCTGGGCAGCCGGAGCCGCGCGGATATCTCGTCGCAGAGCTCCGCGTCATGGAGGAGGCGGAGGGCGTGGTTCTCGGAGTAGGCGACGGACTCCGGCAGGGGGCGGCCCAGGACGTCAGAAAGAGAGAGGATGGCCTTCTGGGCCCTGGAGATGGGCGATTCCCACTCGGAGATCATGTTTGTCGTCGCCGGCAAGGTACGCTGCGGGGCTCGCCCTCGGTGATCGGACGTCGACAGATGGAGAACGGGGGAGGAAGAAGAGGGTGTCTCCCCGCGCTTTTGGCGGCGAATGCGACGTCCAGCCCAACGGTCTCTGCTACTGCCACCGCCACCAACCCCGCCTTCACGTCCGGTCGCCAGATTACCAGATCGTCGGGCCTTTTTTTCACCGGTAATGTTTTCTTAATAATTTTTCAGCTGCCTTTGACTTCAGAACTAAAGACGGCACAATCTTCTGGACGGGCCCGACCCACCAGCGCTTTCACGCCGACCGTCAGCGGAACTCCAGCTCGTCGACCTCCTCGAGTTCGCTCGCTTTAAGCGCTTAATTTCGCTTGTTTATAAAGTGCTGCCAGAAGGGTTTCTGAGGTTTCGTTTCGCGTGATTTCGCAGCGTTGGAGCAGATGCCCATTGCTGTGGAGACCGAGATGCCCAAGGCCCAGCACTACGAGCTGGCCACCTCTTTCTTCAAGCTGGTGCTCGGAAAGAACCTCAAATACAGGTACTCGACGATAATATCAGGAATGATATATGTATAGTAATGGAGAGAAACAGATAAATGTATATAGATAGATAGATAGATAGATAGATAGATAGATAGAGAGAGAGAGAGAGAGAGAGAGAGAGAGAGAGAGAGAGAGAGAGAGAGAGAGAGAGAGAGAGAGAGAGAAGAAGACAAGATGACTTCTTAATGGAAATCATGGAACACAAATGTGTTGGTGGTTTCCTTGAAAAAGAATCTCATACACCCCATAAGGATACAATTGACTCCCTCAACTGGACTATTTGTTCTTGTGAGATTTAGTCCATAAAGGGGCCATTTTTTACCAACCCTTATGCATTTTCGTGAGAACTATTCCATGAATTGACCATTTTTCATAGAGGGGATAGAGTCTCTTATATGGTCCTCAAAACAATAGATACATCACATTGACCTTGTCTTTAAGTCACATACTTTTTCATAATCCTTTCAAGAGTATATCTAATGCTTGGTCTTTTGTGGAGTCAAAGGACACTAGGAGCTGCTTTGATGCCACCTACTAACAATCAACATGAAAGGTAATCACAACATAGTTTATCAGTGCATGAAGCACTAGGTTTGCAGCTAGGTAAATAGTGTTATGTTATCACATTAGAGGCTCCTTGGTGATCAAAAAGTAAATGTAAGTTTCTATAAGAAATAATACAGTTGAAATAATTTTACCATGACAATTGAAATGACCTTGTCCTTTTCTTCAGTGCTAAATTGAGTCATTATGACTTATTATTTATGGTTTTTAAAAATCAGGTTACAATCAATGAAGATAAAGTGGCTATTAGCAGATTATAGATAAGTGACAAAACTTAGTGTGCACTAGTTAAGGTGTGAATTTGGGAGACTAAAACAACATCTTTTAGTAAACTCTATTCAATACCTTGAGATATCACAAGATGCAACTGATCACAATCTAGTAATCAGGTTGTGGCTCATATATGAATTTAAAAACTCAACTATGAAAATTAGTTTTGTACAAGAGATAGTGAAGTACATAACAACATTAGATAAAAGAATCTACATAATGTAGAATAGTATTAACAATTGTATACTAATGTTATGGCACTAATGAGTGTAGAGATAAGTTTTGAATCACTCATCTTGACTCACTAAAGTTAATCTACAATATATTTAGATTGAGAGATGATCATGCAGCTTAATTCTTAAAAAATAGTGAGCTTTGTCAACTTCATGAACTGAAAATTTTGATATTTACTGATATGATGAGAATATCATGCTCCTTATATTTAAGACTAACAAGATTTTATCACATAAATTAGAATGAAAAGTTGTGAGTTATTTGAATGATGACAGTAAAATGATGAATTTATCTTCAATTGCAAAAGCCAAATTCCTAAAGTCATGAACACAATCATGTAAATCATGTTTTGAATTTTGAAATGTCTTTATAAATATTTTTGAAGAGGTTAACATGAATAAGAAAATGATGTTGTACAAAGCCTAGTGATTGATCTATAAATATTATTTCATCAAAATGAATTTTGAGGAATGTATTAGTTAGATCCATCCAATTGTTTAAATCATTTGTGACTAATGAAAATACAAAAAGACATTATATAATAATGATCTTAATTACTATACTGAAGTTTCAAGAAAATCAACACCTCATTATTCTTATAAACATTTGATCGCAAGTCATGTTTTGTACTAGTCAATAGACTCATCAGTTTTGCATGCAACAAAGGTCAAAGATAATTGTAAAATTTAAATGGCCTTTAGGGTTAAGCATACTTAAACCTAAAAGGCACCACCATCATAAAGATATTTTGGTTTTTCTCTTTCTTTTTTTATGATATAAGAGCCCTAATTTGTCCAGTGAAGTCCCATCTTTGCATCCACACTTGTTTGGTCATACATTGATGATGTGCATCATTGTTGTTCCACTTCACCTTTTATGAATTGTCATAAGATGTTCAGTGTTGTCATCCTCCTACCTCATATTACTTTGTCCTTTTAGTATTGGTTATTTTCATATGAGAAATGTTATTTTGAAATATCATCATTTATCAAAGACGTAGTACTCTACCATCTGAAGATTCATTCAATCATCATAATATTTGTATTTTTTTTTATCATTAGTCCTGATCAAGATTTAGAGAGGTTTTATCTAACCTTTGTTCAATCATCTAATCAACTACAAAGTTATTAAATGATCTTTATTAGTGGATCCTAGACTTATAGTGGATTAGATGACTGAACAAAGTTTCACCTACAAAGTTCCAAAAAAAAATCATTTTTGGAACTTTTATATCATTAATCTTTATACATGTCATAACCAATTGTTCTATCAATTGACAATCAATCCATTATGACATGTGTACAAAAAGACATTATATAATAATGATCTTAATTACTATACTGAAGTTTCAAGAAAATCAACACCTCATTATTCTTATAAACATTTGATCGCAAGTCATGTTTTGTACTAGTCAATAGACTCATCAGTTTTGCATGCAACAAAGGTCAAAGATAATTGTAAAATTTAAATGGCCTTTAGGGTTAAGCATACTTAAACCTAAAAGGCACCACCATCATAAAGATATTTTGGTTTTTCTCTTTCTTTTTTTATGATATAAGAGCCCTAATTTGTCCAGTGAAGTCCCATCTTTGCATCCACACTTGTTTGGTCATACATTGATGATGTGCATCATTGTTGTTCCACTTCACCTTTTATGAATTGTCATAAGATGTTCAGTGTTGTCATCCTCCTACCTCATATTACTTTGTCCTTTTAGTATTGGTTATTTTCATATGAGAAATGTTATTTTGAAATATCATCATTTATCAAAGACGTAGTACTCTACCATCTGAAGATTCATTCAATCATCATAATATTTGTATTTTTTTTTATCATTAGTCCTGATCAAGATTTAGAGAGGTTTTATCTAACCTTTGTTCAATCATCTAATCAACTACAAAGTTATTAAATGATCTTTATTAGTGGATCCTAGACTTATAGTGGATTAGATGACTGAACAAAGTTTCACCTACAAAGTTCCAAAAAAAAATCATTTTTGGAACTTTTATATCATTAATCTTTATACATGTCATAACCAATTGTTCTATCAATTGACAATCAATCCATTATGACATGTGTACAAAAAGACATTATATAATAATGATCTTAATTACTATACTGAAGTTTCAAGAAAATCAACACCTCATTATTCTTATAAACATTTGATCGCAAGTCATGTTTTGTACTAGTCAATAGACTCATCAGTTTTGCATGCAACAAAGGTCAAAGATAATTGTAAAATTTAAATGGCCTTTAGGGTTAAGCATACTTAAACCTAAAAGGCACCACCATCATAAAGATATTTTGGTTTTTCTCTTTCTTTTTTTATGATATAAGAGCCCTAATTTGTCCAGTGAAGTCCCATCTTTGCATCCACACTTGTTTGGTCATACATTGATGATGTGCATCATTGTTGTTCCACTTCACCTTTTATGAATTGTCATAAGATGTTCAGTGTTGTCATCCTCCTACCTCATATTACTTTGTCCTTTTAGTATTGGTTATTTTCATATGAGAAATGTTATTTTGAAATATCATCATTTATCAAAGACGTAGTACTCTACCATCTGAAGATTCATTCAATCATCATAATATTTGTATTTTTTTTTATCATTAGTCCTGATCAAGATTTAGAGAGGTTTTATCTAACCTTTGTTCAATCATCTAATCAACTACAAAGTTATTAAATGATCTTTATTAGTGGATCCTAGACTTATAGTGGATTAGATGACTGAACAAAGTTTCACCTACAAAGTTCCAAAAAAAAATCATTTTTGGAACTTTTATATCATTAATCTTTATACATGTCATAACCAATTGTTCTATCAATTGACAATCAATCCATTATGACATGTGTACATGTACATATACCAAAAAAACTTATTCAATAACTAGTCCTTCTATGTTTCATGATTTGTTAAAGAACACATTTATAACATGATCATGATCTTTTCATCTCCTTTAGAAAATAAAAGTAACTTTTATGTATATCTTAGTCTAAATTCATATCTTATCATTAATTTCTTTGTACATATGATAGTTATTTGTTCAACTAACAATCAATCTTTTATTACTTAGTGTACATATGGTAGACAATTTATTTTGTAATAATTGAAAAGTTCAATTAGTAACTAGTCTTTCTATGTTTGATGATCCATTAAAGAAAAATTTACATCACATAATTTTGATATTTTCATTTCTTTTGGAAAGAAAAAGGATTTATGTATTATTCTTTGTCTAATTTTATGTCTTATCATCGAGCAATTTATTGACACCTTATTAGAGTTTGATATTAGGAGACATGATATTAATTGTTCTCTCTTTGACTAACACTATTAAATCAATTGTGTTATGTTGATTGTCTTTGTCAAAGATATAGTTATG